GACCACTCAAACATCCTAATTTCTCACAAAAAGGGCCTCAATGCATATTTACACAAAATCATCTATTGGCCAAATTCCATATACATAACATCAAAACATTAATTCCTACATGCACTTGTACTATTATCTTGATCCTTAATTCACAACTATCATAAACACATACACCAAGGCTAAGATACACCACATATCATCTCATACAAGTGCAACTAAAATGATGCATTCCTACTAGGAGGTAATATATAAACATATTTATATATACAAAATTAATTACATAAAATAGAATAAGGAGGAAATATAGTGATCTCACTACTCTTGGCCCAAATCTTTCCCTCTACTCCTATCTACATCTGAACTTGTAAAATAATAACCGCAGAGTGAGATAGAGTCCTAGTAACTAAAATAATTCACAACTATCTAATAATAGGTAAAACTATAAACAAGCATATAAATCAAAGATTATAAACCACATGTTATAATATATATATATATATATATATCTAATGTCACATGCATGATCATACTATCTATCTGAACCTCACATCTATCTGAATCCACAAGCTACTACTAAACTAACTCTAAATAAGTTGATCCAAGCTCACCTTCTATGGGAGAACTACCTAGCTAAAGGTAATATATATCACTTCTGGACTATGAATTCCCTTTATTACACACATAATTAAGGTGTCATTACTCTAAAACCACACCCTTTTGGGTATTAAAGAGCACATAATCATATCATGATTGCTTGGATGTCCCATGGTAATCGTCCATTACATGTTACTGCACTAGATGTCCTATAGTGCCAGCCCAACCATATGGATTTTAACACTACTTCACCTAGGGTGAACTCCTACACACTATAATAATCATGACTTCGTACATGCAATGGAATTAATTACATAATCATACTAACATTTCTTTATCATATAACTTTAGTTACAAATATCATTAATAAATAATTATTATTATCTTAAAACCTTTTCCTTTTCCCATCGAGAGGTTCTAAATCACACAACATGTAATATTATATTTAACTTTGAAAATAACTTGTAAATGGTTAAACAAGCTAACAAATGGAATAAATTATTCAGTTACCTCAACCTCTTTAGATACAAGGGTTACCCATGGTAATTATCACTCTTCATACTTTAAACCATTCAATAAATACTTGAGCCACGCCAATCTACTACATTAAATCATTCTTGTCAATTCCAAATTGAACATAAATACCTAAATAATGTAATTAATATAACCTAAACTTCTAATCCCTTTTCTTTGGACAATTTTATATCCAAATCACCATCCACAACTTCTTACAATTTTTACTAACTCCATTAATATCAATATAGAGTTTTTCACAATTTAACATCATCTAATTGAGGCTAAAACTAAGCCAAATTGCCAAAACACAATCAATAACCACCAAATTGGTTACAAATCCTTACTTTAACTTCTAACAACCGTTTAACAGTTTTTAGGCTGAATAACAGCCCTTTACAACCTCACAGTTCAACTTCTCCATACCTCAAGCCAAGAGAAAATAGGGTAGAGCAAAAGATAAAGGATGTACAAAGCTTACCCAAAAGATGATAGGTTGAAACTAACTTTCAGGTACTTAAAAACTCATGCCTTAATACACCTCCTTCTTCTCCCTTCATGCTTCTCTATTTTGTCCCTTTCCCCCTCTAGTTTTTGACCTAATCCTTAACGTTTTGCACTTTAGCTCTCTAATTCAATCCTGACTAGCTCTTCTTCCTCCCTAGCCTAATTATGCAACTATCTAAGGACCATAAATGTCAATTTACAATCTGGAATCATGACTAAATTATTTAATCTACTAATTTACTTATTTACCTTTAACTAGTAATTTGGGTTTGGATTAAAAGCTTGGGACGTTACATAATTCACAACCCTATAAACTTGCCTTAAGCAACCATAGACCATGAAAGTAAGAGAAATATAGATAAGTAATAATAGTAAAGGACCTATAAGGGAACTTGTCCCTAATAATCCTAGCCTTAAAAACACACCACAAGAGTTTGATCAAACTCTTGATCAAATTAGTATTCAATCGAGGATACCAATAGCAAGCATAGCCAGCAGCAAGAGTTTAAAAACTCTAAGAATAAAATTCTCTTTCATAAACCTTTTCTAAAAGAGTACAAATTTGTGGCCTACATAGGCAAGAGTGGCATCTAATGCTTCACATATGAGGGAAGTTCCTAATTCATTAAGATTTAGCAATTACGAGTAATAATTAATAAACATTCTAGAAGTTTTTTTTAATTAAGATCTAAAACAATCTCAAGTAAAATCATCCTAATAGATGCTAGGAATCAAAAGGAATATAGACACATGTTGGAAATACAAAAATTAGGAAACTAATGTCTGTTGAAACATATGTTTTGATGAGCACAAAACTAAGAGAAGAGGTGTTTGTTACTTATGCAGATACAAAAGAATCAAGGATAAGACAAAACCTCCAAACTTGAAGAATCAAGAGAAGAAGAAGTTATATAGGTTTAAGTTATTTATTTCTCTTAGATTCAATGTGAAAACTATGAGAGTTTAATCATATTTTATCTATTTTAAAGTATATGCATTATCTTAAGCTCATAAGTCTTTATTTGTGCATCATAGAACTTGTCTTAGGTCAATTAAAGCTTGAAAATTATGTCATTCACACTTGAATTGGATCATAGAAGTTGAGCTTTTCATTACATGACGTTTCATGCTTGAATCAGAATGGTTCCATAAGTGATTTATCACTATAGGCACACTGGTTAATGTTTTCTACCTGAATCAAAAGTAGTCCAAGCATGATTTATCATCTTTATTTGTGTGATGTCTTAATGAAGCTTCTATGCTCAATTCATATCTGAAACATCTTTGTTCGCACCCTTGAATTGTCACATTGTGTTATATTGCATTTTGTGCTATGACATTTGATGCCTGAAAGAGAAAACTTTCATGCCTATTTTGTCACTTGATATCTTGAACATATTTAGCCTAAGTAAGCCTTAAGCCAATTCAAGCTTTATTCACTTTGTGCACTTGCATGATTTCTCACCTATAAGTCTTTTTATTATGCAATCCACACTTGAATGCATATTAGTTCCACACGTGATATGTTTCACATGTTGGGTTATGTTTTGACTAAGTCATTTCACGCATGAGAGGTAGAGTGTTCCCCATGTAATTTGTCATCCAAAATGGCTTAGGTTTTATAACTAGCCATTTCACATGTGATTTGTCACCTAAATTGGCTTTGACATTCTGCTATCTAATTCATGTGTGAGAGCTTGAGGGAACCATGCTTGATTTGTCATGCAGAATGATTTGTATCTTTTCACCTTACAGATCACATGTGAATCACCCTAGTGTTCACGCTTGAATTGTTATATATGCTTGACTAGAACTTGCCTAGCTCTATTTCACACGTGAATCTCCTGGTTGCATGCAAGAAATGTCACTAACGGCTATATTCACTATTCCAACAATCTGTATACTATAAAACTATATATATGACACAATTCAAGTCTAGAAAGAGAATTCTAATCAATTGAGTGAACTATTCCTTAGTTGAACATTCTTAAAAATTTTCAATTTATGCATCAAAGATCTTGCATTCATTCATTTATCATTCCTGATAAACTTTGTGAAAAAGCTCTCATTAGTTCTTAAGCTTCCATTGTACTTAATCTACTCTTTACAGAGAGTTTATCTTTAAGAGAATTTTCTTTGAAACAAAGTTGAAATATTGAAGAGAGATTTTTTTAAGTGAATTGTAACAACTTGTTGGTTGTAGCAAGGTTGGTGTAATTGAAATAAGACTAGTCAAGTCTTGTGAGTTGTACTGAGGTTGCAAGCACCCATTTAAGCTTGTGATAATAATTGAAAATCTCAAGGGTGATTTCAAGGACTAGATGTAGGCTAAGTTTTGGACTGAACTAGGATAAATCTTCAGTGTCAAATCTCTTACTTCTTGCATCTCTCCTTTGCTCTTTATATTTTTTTAGAAAAATAAAGTATCACTCAATTCACCTCCCTTAGATGCTAGCCTTATCCAACAACGTCTTAAGAAAAATTGCTGAAAATAAAATAAGAAACTAAATAAACTTGCAAACTAATCCAAATTAAGAAAGGAATCAAGCCTTAGACAATGCATTTGGACCCCCCAATTTAGCATATTAAAGCTCCAATAGACTCATTCATGTGTATATAATTGCATTAGACCTTCAACTTGTCGGAAATTTATCCATGGTAGCTTTGGGGGTGGCCTCGCACATGTTATGTCATTGTCAACACATGCAATCATCCATATCACATCCTCTCATGCTTTTGGGCCACTTGTGAATTGGTCCACTGACCTTTGGGCCTTGTTGGGATTCTTCAACATGTATGACCCATACTCTATCACAATAGTCTTGAGTACGGCCTACTAACATTTTAGGCCAAACATATGTAAAACAAGTTTATCAAACAACTTTTTTTGTCTTATTTTCTCAAAAGATATTTCGAAAGCAATTTAGCAAACAAGTTTTTATCTTTCTTTCTAGTTCTTAAATATAATTTTTCAAAACAATTATGGAGAAACAAGTTTATTTTTTATTGTATTGTTTTTAGAACATGTTCTACAAAATATCTATTCTTCAAATTCAAAGTAAAACAAAAACATAATCAATGAAGCCCATAATTATTGGTTTTCCTCTTCTTTAATTCTCTCTTCTACTTTTTCATTCTAAACATTTAGATCGAAATTTAAAAATTTATATTTATTTTTTAACTTAGATATTTCAATATTTTTTTTGAAAATATCTGTCATTATGTAAATAAAATTAAAAGAAGAGACAAAACCAAATTTCTGAGACACAGCTCTCACATTTTTCGGATTCTCTATTTTAGACTGTCTCTGTCCCTCCACTTCCTCTCGTATATATCTTTGAAGAAGAGTCTGTGCTTCTTCTCTTTCCCTCTCTTGGCTCCCATTGAAATAGAAATGTCTCAAGTAAGAGACAAAAGAGAGGTGGACACCATGTCTTCATCTTCTCTCATTACTTCTTCCTCGCCCTACACCTCCACGTTCCTCCATTACTACAACCTCTAATTGGTATTCGTCTGATCTCAAGCTCTTTTGCGTTCATTACTTCACATTCATTTCTCTTTCGCTACAAATACTTCCCCAAACCTCAACATTTTTTTCCTCAACAAGTTTCTCTCTTTCACCATGTCGCCTTCATATCTTCTTCTTCTTCTTCTTCTCTTTCTGTGCTTTTCCTTCCAAACTTGCAATGGTCGGCGCCTTACCAGTTTCAGTAACAAGAATATAGAGGAGAAATCTCATTTCCTTCTGAAGGTTTGTCCAGCTTTAAGTTACTGAAGTTTTTAATTATGAAGGCTGCGATAATGGTGCAGCATCCATGTTACGTTCTTAAGTAACATCAAAACACTTACTGAGATAGAGTTATATTCATAGTCTTATGAGATTTCATTTGTTGTGTAGAATGGCAGTAAGGAGAGTGTTATTGCTGTTTCTCCAAAGCAACTTATTACGCAGAGAAATGGATCAGAAGAGGAAGAGAGGAAAACGACTGAGATAATGGTCGCTGAAGCTGAGAATAAGCCAAAATTGAATACAAGAAGAACCAGGAAGATCAGGGTGTTAAAAGTAGTGAAGGGGAAAACAGGTTCAGTTTCTTCTTCAAAAACTCATGAATCTCATGTTTCAGTTTCTTGGAGTGTGCCTCCCAAGAAGAAAAGGGGCTACAAAAATCCAGGCTTTAACTTGGATTATTCACCACCAAAGACTCATCCTCCTTCTCACAACTGAGTTACATATATGTGTGTGTGTGTGTTCCATGTTAATATACCTATATGAAGTGCATGCAATTTTCCCTGCTGAATTATGTATAATGGGAAGCCCTGAAGGAGAAGAAGCAGATAAATCAATTGACTGAGAATGAAGGCTCAAGGCATGCTTCCTCGTTGTAGGGTGAAATGTTCTAGTTTTGTCGACGTATATGACTACCATATTGACTTAAATTAATATATATGACTCTATATGTCCATGACCTAATCTATTTTAAGCGTTTCTCCTTATAATGTGAATCGATTAGATAATTCTTTACAGCAAGAAAGAACATGCTTTCTTTTGTCAGTCTAGCGAGTCCTTTTTCATATGTTTATCGATCAGATGAATCACAAATTTATATATTATCCTCCCTCCCTCCCATTACATATCTCTCTAATCTTTCATTTAAACATGTTGTCAGAATTGGGAAGTACAACCAACCAGAATTCTTGAATATATGAAAAAGTTTACAATAGTACGGTCAGGGGATTTTTTTTTTTTATTGGAGAAATAATAGCCTTTGCATTTGATTCGAAACAATTGCGTGAAAGATTCATGGAATATTCAAGCTTGAAATGTAGCTAGCTATTGATGATACTGTAACTCTGTCATATTCATGACGGGTCGTCATGCATGTGAATGGTATATCGGTTGGAATGAGGAGGGGGATGAAAGATTTGACCTTCCCATGATTTTTATAGCATGTTTGGACTGATTAAGAATGTAGAAGAAACAAGGAAAAGACGTGAAATTTTTTAATGTTCACATTCTTTTTCTTTTTGGGTTTAGATTTAAATTTAACAATTGTTTTTCTTAGAATATTCTTGGATCAAATGAATTATATATGACAAGGGAAGGGAGAACATTTATCTGAATTAAATGCAAGTATGTGTGTGTGCATATATATATATATATATAATATTTTCATTTTTCCTTTTTTTTATTCTCCTCAATTTACAAGTTCCTTTCATGTTATACCCTAAATAACTTTCCAGTTGTGAGGTGGTAGAAATAGTTTCTTAAAATATAAGAAAAATGATAATAAAATTCCTTCAAAATATATAACAATTTATTTAATCCATCAAAATGTCATAACACTAATGAAGTCCTTAGGGACTTTTTTATGAATTTTTTTTAGGAAAAAAATCATTTTACCCTTATTGACAAATTGTAATTTCTTGTTCAATTCTTATGATTCTTTGAAAAAAGTTGTAATTCTTTAAATAAAAAGTATGAATAGAGTTTGTTATTTTGAAAGCTTGTTTTTCAATAAAAGAAATTATACTTGATAAATTGTGATTTTTTTGTTCAACTCATGCGACTCACAAAACAAAAGTTGTTCCTAAAACAAAAGTTGTAATTGAGATTTTTTTTAATAATAAAAATTACACTTGATAAGTTGTAATTTCTTATTCAACTCTTATGATTTACAAAATAAAAGTTGTGATTTTTTAAATAAAAATTATGATTGGGTCATGTTATTTTTAGCAAGGGTAAAATGATTTTTTTTTCTAAAAAAAATATTAATAAAGAGGTCCCTAGGGACTTCATTGATATTATGACATTTTAAAAAATTAAATTGTCATTTATATAATTTAAAAAAATTTTATTATCATTTTCTCTAAAATATATGCTCCTGGGGTTGGGACTTCGAAGAATTACACTTAACTCTTAAGAAAAAAAAATGACAATTAGATTTTTAATAAAATTTTCCAAAAAATACCATGCAATATCATTTTAAACATTTCAAATTCTTAAATTTTAATTAAAAATAAGACATTTAAATTTTAAATGTCTCTCTTAATTTTTCATTGTGATTTTTTTATAGCTATTTAAATTAATATTTACAATTTATTTTTATAAAATTTTGTCAAGGCCAAATTATCATAAATTTCCTCTTGTGAGACTTTTTCTTTTTAGAAAAATATCAATCAAGGATCATTAGAGGAAATTTATATTAGTCAAGAATCTTATTATCAAAACTTGAATAGATACTTGTCAATTCAGATTAATCTTTTGTCAACAAATATACATTTAGGTTTTAATAACAACTTATTCTAAATTAACAACAGTTTATTCAAACTTGCTTTTCATCTAAGTTTTGACAACAACCAGTCATTAATTGATATAAATTTTCTTTAGCGGCTCTTGATTGCTATTTCCTTTTTTTTTTTCAAACCTTCAATTGGGACTTTATTGTCATTGTTGCTATATTTTTTAGGGAGAATTTCAAATAAGGACCAAAGATATGACATAAGTACTAGTGGGTCTCAAAAAATTCTAAAATTTTAGTTTAGTTCAGGAGAAAAAATGAAAATAATTTCAACTGTGTAAAAACTAAAGTACCCTTTATTTGTTATTCAGAATCACTAGTTGTTAATTTAATAGTTAGTTACAAATTATATGAGTTATCATATTAATAATTATAAGACTTGACATCAGTTATTAAATTGTTAATTTTACTTATTAATTTACTAATATTTGTTGTAAATTACTGATAAATATTATAATTTACTAATATTGATTATAAAGTACTGATAGATTTTATAATTTACAATTCATATTGGTAAATTAACAAGTAAAATTAGTAAATTAATAACTAATATTACTGCTTGTCTATCAAATAAGTGTAATTTATAAGTGATATGGGTAAATTAATAAATGAAGTAAGAAAGTTAACAATTAAATAATTTTGCATAACAAGTAAATGATACTTTAATATTTTCACAATTGAAATTATTTTCACTTTTATCCCCCTTGACTAAACTGAAATTTTAAAATTTTTTAAAATTCACTAATAATTATGTCGCATTTCTGCTCCTTATTTTAAAATTTTCCTTTATTATTGTGCAAATAAAATATTATAGATATATAAATACTTTCTTTAAAGTTTTATCTTCAAAACTTTCTGCCCCCCCCCCCCTTCACTTAAAGGCGATACCAACAAGGAAAAATATCTTAATCATTGAATAAGTTCATCTATTTGCATATCAAATTGTTTATGAGAAGAGCCAATAGAAAAAAATTCATTTAAGAGTAATTTTTAAACATATAGAGTCCATTCTAAAACATCCATTAGATGAAACGTACATTGAGTGACAATTCTATGGGTTGTTGTGTGTGAATGTAAGAAATTATATGGGAGTATACAGTTATTATACTATTGTCGCAGTTGGTTCATCATAAATGTGGGAAAATAACTGTAGGTTCCAACATTTCCACGTGGTTTTGGGTATTTTTTGTCGAGTGAATTTAATTGTTCCGTTCTCTACTCGAGCTCCCTCGAATATGAAATGTACTTATCTGCAAGCTAAATAATCCTCCTATTATTATTACGCAGCACCTTTTTTTAAAATTTTTTCAATCATAAAAGAGAATATAATATAAATTTAAAAAATTTACACTTAAATGGAGGTAAAATTAAAAATTTATTATATTTTTAGACAAAATTAATAGATTCGTTGAAAGTAACTTATCATAGGACCGGAGGAAGGAGGCGAATCCATTATACTCATTTGATTTTATTCATAAATTATTTCTAACATATTTTATTAAATCTTAAAATTCATTAACTTTGTTTAAAAAATCAATAAATTTTTAACTTTACTCTCACTAACATTTATTGGAGATTAAAAAATTTATAATAAAAATTTAATAATGTCAAAGTAACTAATAAATAAGATAAAAATAAATATCTTCTCTGTCTACTACCTTATAAATAGTAGCAAAGGGAGTGGTACTTATATAAAAGATGTAATAATGTGTATTTTATGTTGTTAATACATTTATTGTTCACTTCATACATAATAGGTTATTTTGAAAATGAAGTACTATAGTTACTTTCTTTTTTTAATTAACGGTTATAATTTTCATATTCTATACATTGATATATATATATAGATATATATATATATATATATGAAATATCAAAAATATATGAGTCATCTTTATTGTAATCTATGCATAAATAATAATACAACTCTCTCCTTAAAATCCACATATGAAGCCTATATCTGATCATATAAATACATATAAAATCTAAATGTTACCAGCTGTACACTTGATGAAAAGGAGGCACTTACGATTCGTGACATGTGTGGATTTAATTATTTTGAAACTTCTATAAAACTAATTAAAGAAGGCATCATATATTGTAGAAATCTTTTTAGTTATGTCACACCACACCATATTAGAAGTGATTTAATTTTATATTTATGGTTACTTAGATACACTTAAACAACTTTGTTTATTTGCCTAGTGTGCTAGCCTTGGTGTTCCGTACCTAACTAGAGACAGAAAATGCAACAGTTCCAAGTATGTCTCCTGAGAAAGTAAATATATTGTTCGATCAATTTGAAGATGATTTAAAATCCCAATAAAATTGTTTGGAATTGAGGGAATTGAAGAAAGAGTTCTTGTTGAAACCAAACACAAGCATCCAACTTTGGAAGAGGAGTCCTCATGTTGACACTGCCACTAATATAATGTAATATTTATGTTTTAAAGGCTTTGTACTTTTAAAAAATTATTATATACATTTGAAATCTCTAACAACCGTTGATTAATTTATTTAGTTTGGCTTCAGTGCATTGCAGGATATGTCAAAAATTAGTCACACTATAAATATATGGCTCAAATTTATTGCATTTAGATATGAATAGTGATATAAAATTTATTGTCTCATATCAAATTTATAATTCTGCTTATTAAGCATCAATATTAATGCAAATATCAAATATGAAATATATTGCAAATCACATTATTCACTAATTGTGAATACTTTAACTTGTGTATAAATGAACTTCAGTTAGACCCATCTAGAAAACATCAATAATCAATCATGAATATTAAAATATAACCTTTTTTCTTGTCAATAAAATAGAACTTATTTAGACTTTACAAAATTTACGTGACCATCAAGTTGATTGAATTATTTTTTTATTTGAAAATTAAATATAACTTTGATACTAGTACTTCCACTTGGAAATTAAACATAACTTTGATTTTTATGCTAGTACGCACAATGTCTGAATTCAAATTACACGCCTTTTGAGATACTACGAACATTCGAGGCGAAAATGTTGTATTCCCAATGCGATGGAAGTCCTT